ACATGACCAGCCCATTGCCATTTCATTTTAGCCACTTCCTGAATTATATCGGTAACTCTTGTTTGCCTCCTGATGTTTTCATTACGAATTTTGTCTCGCAGACAGACCCCTAGCATACATCGTTTAATAGATCTTTGTTGGACTGATCGTTTCCAGTCCATATGTTTGCACAGGCAAAATACAGGTGTTACATACTTTTCGCTTCAGATTGATAGGGATCGTATTGTTTTTCAGAATATGTCTGAGTTTACCGAAGGCTATCCATGCTAATCGTATACGCCTTGTAATTTCTGCGTGTTGGTTTTCTTTTCCAAGTCTAAATATACAGGGTGGTCCGAACTGTATTCCGGAAACTTTGGCAGCACATTCTGCAGATAAAAATAAGTAAAAAAGTTCGTATAAATGTATGTCCTAAAATGCTTAGTTTCGGAGATACAGGGTGTAGAAGTTTCATTTTTATTTCGATTTTTTCCAAATAATTTCAAGTAAAGTCCATATTTGAATAAAAATTGGTGTCTGGGAGTTTTTTTAACATGGGAAAGAGAAATTTGATTTTGATGTCAATATGGCTCCTACTAGTAGAGGGCGCCACCTACATATTTTTAAACCGGTTTGAAGAGTAATAACTTTTCGTCCGCACCTGTATAATATTACTGAGTAAAAAAATATACATATATTACGACGTTTTTTATGTAAAATTGGTGTCTTGGTAAAAATCGCTACGAGTAATGGTTTTCGAGATATTTGGAATCAAAATTATTAATACCTGTCATCATTGACATTAATTAAACATGTTGACTAAATAGTTATTAAACTGAAATCATAAATTTGAAATATTTTTATTCAACAGAAACTGTTTTATCATCATTTTTTGCAGAAAAATTTATGATTAATTAATTTAAAAAAAAATAAAAATTTTCAAATTTATTATTTCAGTGAAATAACTATCTACTCAACGTGTTCATTTTTCGTCAATAATGACATGTATTGACTATTTCCATTCTAAATATCTTAAGAACGGTTGCTCGTAGTCAGTTGCAAAAGTCACAGAGATGTATATTTTTTCGCTCGGTAGTTTTATGCAGGTACGGACAAAAAGTTATTACGCTTCAAAACAGTTAAAACACATGTAGGTGGTGCCCTCTACTAATAGGAGTCATATTGACATCAAAATCAAATTTCTCATGTCAAAAAACTCCCAGACACCAATTTTCATCCAAATATTGACGTTACTTCAGAAATTATTTAGAAAAAAAAACGAAATAAAAATGAGACTTCTACACCCTGTATCTCTGAAACTAAGCATTTTAGGACCTACATTTATACGAACTTTTTTATTTATTTTTATCTGCAGAAGTTTCCGGAATACAACTCGGACCACCCTGTATATAATCTCTTACACGTTCGATCTTATTATTGTGTATATACATGTTGATATCTTCAGAACTCTTTATTATATATACGTACTTTTGTTTTATTAAAGTTTATGTTCAGTCCTATCATTGCAGCTGATAGATGTAATTCATTTAACATTTCATCTAGTTTTGTGATGTTGTTACCTATTAGAACTATATCATCTGCAAATCTGAGGCGGTTTAGTCTGATACCATCTACGCTAATGCCCTTCGTGTCCCATTCCAGCTTTTTGAATACCTCTTCTAGTGCTAGGGTAAACAGTTTAGATGACATGGTATCTCCCTGTTTCACACCGTTTTTTTGAAGTATTAACATAAATTCCTCTGTTGATTTCTGTTAGTAGAGATGCCGAGCTGTATATTAGTTGTCCCAAATATATATTTTCTTCTACTATTTCCAGTGTTGTGTTATTTATTAGAATGTCTTTTCTGTATATTATTTTGTAATACATTACTTTAGTTTTTGCTAAATTCATTTTGAGACCTACTTTACTGCTGGTTGTATTTAGTTCGTTAATTTGTAGGTACTTGTAGTTCTTCAGGACTATTGGCAATTAGGACTATGTCATCAGCAAATCGTAGATGGTTAAGATATTCTCTATCTATTTTTAATCCTTTGTTCTTCCAGTCCAGTTGATGGAAGATTTCTTTTAGTGTTGCTGTAAACAGCTTGTTAAAAGCTGTTTACCACCCTGTATAAATTTAATCAATTAAAAAAAAGAAAGAGTTATTGAAAAATGAGTCTCGTAATTCGATATAATCTTATCGGGGGTTGTTAGTTATTCTTAATTATTTTTATGAAGTTAAACCTACAGCATCGTTTAGACAAGCACTATCTGTGTAAAAATTCATCGTACTTACGTACTTACATAAACGTATAATTAACAAATCCGGGAAAAGAAAACTAATATCCTGTACCAAGAAGCCCCACCCAACTACATGTAGTACTTTGGTACTTGGTGTTGGCGCCATGGATTTATGTACTTGTACGGTTTTGTTTGTCGGACAAATAATAGAGTCCCGTTGTTGTGTTTTTGTTAATCGTTAAAGATAATACAGAGAAAATTGCTGGGTTGGGCTTGGCAAAAATTCTAAAACAAAAGGATATGAGTAAGTTGGCGTAGTTAATGTTTGAAGAGGTTTATGAAGAATTTAGGCGCCTACATAATAAGTATGTGGATAAGAAAAACAGATAAATTTAGCAAACAGTATTAGTTGTAGTGTGTGTTAGAGTCAGAGAAATTGGTAAACGTAGAGGTTTTCTAAATTACTTGATAGAACCACAGTTGACTTATTCTTAAATTAACAAAAAATATTTTTTATCAAGAGTCACAAAAGTATTATTTTTTGCGACGTGATTGACAATATAAACAAGTCATTTTAACGCCTAGGCATAAAAGTAGAGCACTTTTACGCCTAAACACAAAAGTACGAAAATATATTAACTGACATAAAGTGCCAAATTCAACTAGCGTAACCATAGTTTATCGATATATAATTACATGCAAGGTATTAATTTTAAATTTTTTTATATTATTTGGAACATTTGAAATTGTTTCTGAAAAAAAATAGCTTGTTCTGTTCAGCGTAAATTTTTGTGCCTCGCCTTTACTACGAAAAGTGTCATTTTTACTCCTAATAAAACAATATACTATTATTTCCAATTGTGGGAATATTTTTCTTAGATTCTTCTTATTATTATAAAACAGTAGTAGTGAGAACTATCGAGTGAATACTATCGAAACATTCGATAGTTGCAATTCATTCGAATAATTCGATAGCTAGTAAGAAAACATTCATTGAAAACTATTCGAATAAAAATATCGAATAGATGCGTCATCTGCCTTGAAATATATTAATTCGGCAGCAAAAACCATTCATTTATAAAATTCATTCATTTGTAAAATTTATTTATTCGTCAGGATCGATTATAATAAAATATAAACTGGATTTTAGTTGTCGCCCGGCGACGTAGGTTTCTTTCCTAGAAACCCGACAGCGGTCGGCGGTCGGTGGCAATGGTATGAAAAAGCCGGCATCTTTGATTTTGAGTCAGATAAAGATAAGGACACATTATTTTTTTTTATTGAGGTGCTAGTATTTACACAGAAAATACATTATGAACGGCGCTGTTGCCGTATATTCGTATTAGTTGGTATTAGCAAAGAATATTATTCTTTGGTATTATAGTTAGTTAGTATGACTATATATTTTGCATGTTTTTTATTAATATTCTGTTGTTACACTACAATAATACTTTTTATTTTGGATGTAGGAAAATGATTTTTAATGTTTTTAAGCAAAACTGGTTTAATAAATAATAATAACAGTAATAATTTGTTATACCTATTAACACCAAAATTTAAAATCATTTAATATAAACATTTTTTAAGTAGTAGCAAAATATAAACAACAAATTAGAAGTCAAAATTATTTATATTAGATCCTATTTAAAAATAATATAGTCTCTCAATAATAATAATTACAGAACTATTTCGTTATATTAACAACAAATTTTAAAATCATGAAATATAAACATTTATTAATTTTCTAAGCATGCATTGTAATAGAAGAAAAATATAAATAAAAAATTAAAAATCAAAATTATATATGTGTATTACTTTTTATTACTTTGTATTAGTATTTAAAAATAATATTTGCTTTTACTGGCATTTACTTTAAAAAATAAATGAAATATTTCTTCGCAAAAATCTACATGTAAGAGAATTAGCATAAGCAAAATACAAATATCGTTAACTTTTTTTTTAAATTGGCACGTGTAAAACTTTAATCAATCAATTTAATTTTCTCATCCCAAAATTTGAGATCGATAACCATTTACTTAACCGCATTACTACATTAATTAAATATGATTATTAAGTTCAACTAATTCATAGTACTAAAACATCTAAAATACAAATACATATGTATTTTTAAAATTAATTGTAAGTTCACCTCATCTCTCTTAAAAATTGTTACTTCTCAAAATTTCCCATTAAAAAAATAGACCATATACCGTATAAAATTAAATAATTGAAAGATCGGAAAATCACACAAATTTTCGGAAAAATTTTGACCACCTGCACACGTACACAATCGTCAATTAAAAAAACACTACTACTTTAGTATTTTAAATATTTTAATAAACGCAAAAATAGCACAGTATTTAGAAGGCAAGTTATAAAAATTTGGAAGAACTAATAATGCACTGACGCAGACAAAAATCAAACGAATACTAAATTTCATTTATCAAAAGCATTCGATAGTCGTGGTTTAACGATAACCATTTAGTCGCACGGCGAGGTTGTCACATATGCTTTAGTATACAAATGAATGAATGATTTTATTCGAATGAAACCATTCGATAGTTGAAATCATTCATTCAGTAACCATTCGATAGTCTAATTCATTCGATAGTTCCCATCGCTATAAAACAGTATAATAGAAAATATATAGATAATAGTAGGGGATAATATCATAAGGGGAGAAATTAGAAAAAGTTTTGCTTCTTTTTCAGACTATTATTATCAATTTATTATTTTTATTTTCCTTGTGTGTTTATTAATTGTGTTTCTTTTGTTACAGCATACTCACGATGATCTACACAAGAATGGACCTCAAGTTAATAAGGTAACGCACTATTTACGTTAAATAATATCCTATTTAGTAATTCTTTATGTCATTTTAAATATGAAATTGTATTGTGTGTAATAAAAGTTGGCCAAATATGGATTAACATACAATATTTCTACAAAAAAGCATAATATTATTTTGCTAGTCGTAAGGTTGTATATAAAATAACATTTCTTTACTGGGAATTTAAAATGGGGTTATTTTAATATTTGCAAATTTTATTCTACACAGACATTTTGAAAATGTTTTTTTGGTTTATGGTAATTTTAATACGTTATATTTTTAAGCAAATTTGTTTTCATTTGAATATATTTAAACACAAGATTGATCATACTTAAAAAGCAACAACAGAGTAGATTAATGTGCCTGTTTTTTAAATTAGGGTTTCGTATACGAGTCCAAGACATAAAAGAAAAAAGAAAGACAAAGCACCTTTTTACCTAGAATTTATTGGTTGAAGTATATTTTTTTTTAAATTAATAATTTAAGAATTATCAACAGAAAATTTGATGTTTTATATAGGACACCCTGTATTTTTAATTCACTGAAAATAATTGAATTTTACCTTTCCAAAAATAGCATAGTTCATATTTTGCTTGATTCCTCTTCGAGATATAGAGTTTTTAAAAACTCGTCCACTTTGAATAAGTAGGCTTTGAACGGCGCCGGCTGTAATGCAAAAAAATTGTAGCTGTGAGCAGCAATTAAAACGAAAATAATATTTGCAATAAGGGATGCGGAATTTTATAACAATTTAAACTATATTTAACAACATCGACACATTTAAACAATAAAAATTAATAGCAAACCAAGACATGAGATTTTGATACAGGTGTTCGACATATTATGTCGACTGTCTTCGATTATGGTCAGACGGGACCGTTTTTGAACATTTCTTGCAGAATTCATTAACTCGGTAGGGGGTGAAAGATACCCTTGCATAACCGCTAAGTACTTCTAATTCTTGTCTAGATTATACGGGCAATTTAAAAATAAGAACTTTTCGAGGGGTGAACACTTAGGGGATTTATGGTGTACACATGAGAGGATTTCCAGGGGATGTACCGAGGATGTAGTGGATGTACCGAGGATGTAGTGGATGTACCGAGGATGTACTAGAGGATATAGGGGATGTACCGAGGATGTAGGGGATGTACCGAGGATGTACTAGAGGATGTAGGGGATGTACCGAGGATTTACCGGGGATGTATTTCGAATTATTTGGGGCATAATTTGCCGAATGCGATGTTTCAAGTCATCCAAATTTGTGGGTTTTCTTTTGAATACATTTTCCATAAGGTATCCTCTTCGGTATCCTCTTAAAAAAGGTTTTTTTCTAATATTTTTTTTTCACTTTTTAATTTTTAAATGAGAATAACTCCAAAAAGCTTGGATTTGGGTATAGCACTTACATGGAAAATATTCAGAATTTTAAGGGCAATTCAAAAATGCAGAAAAATAATAATTATGTTGCCACGAGGGTTGCCATTAAAAGAAATTGTTTTGGACAAAGCATTTTTGAGACACCCTGTATAATATTCATTTTTGGCATAATCTGCCCCGGAAAAATTAAAATAATTGATGTGGCCGAGCGATTTCCAAAAAATGTGGTTCTCGAGATGTTGATATTTATTCAATATTTTACAACCACCCTGTACGAAATCAAATAAGATCGAATATCGATATTGTGAATATAGATAGATATAGATATTTCCGATATGAAGTATTCATAAAGAGATATAGCGGTATCTGTTATATCGATAGCTATATCGATATTTATGGACCAATATATCGTTACTTGGTTTTCACGTATGTGAATTAGCTTGTGCACATCCGTTTTTCTCAATGAATTTATTAAATAAAGTTTGCACAAGCCGATTTTCACAAGCCGATTTGCACAAATTTCATGGGAGTGAAAATGGACCTTTATTTAATATATCGATAAAAATATCGATACTCAAGGCTTTGTGGCTCACCCCTACTCATAACCTCAAAATATCTCGCAAAATGTATGTATAAGTCAGATATATAGCCTTTAATCCATATCTCTGGTATAAGTTTATGCAAAAATGTGTTTGTGTGTGTTCATATCTTATTGCATAGTGCCGTAAGCGTTATGAATTAAAGGGAAGTGTGTGTAAATAATTATTATTGTACCCTCTATACGTCAAAAACGAAGTTCATAAATGCGAATGCCTTTAGCGTTGCCTATTTTTAGGTCTGTTTTATAAAGTAGATCCTCGGTAGCTACTAGATCTCATTTTTATTTGGGGTTCAAAACACGAGATTGATAACTTTGCACATAATATAGGGCTTTACGCATGACTAAGTTATTTTTTCCGCCGACATAAACTGCATAAACCGAGGCATAAACTGCTGTTATACAGGGTAAGTCTTAAATAAGTGCAAATATTTTCAGGGGTGGTATATTTTGACCCCAGGAACACGTCTATGATGTTTTTTTGCAAATAAAATATGTTAAAAATCGTGCATGTTCTTTTAAATTTCCCTGTATATTTTTCGAAAACTTTTTAGAACTGCCTGTTCATCGCTAATTTTCCCACGTTATAAATTCTTAATCTCTGATATTACCATAGTTACAGCTTTACTCTATGGTTACGGCACTAAAAGGGATGCAAATACAGAAAAAATTCAGGTGGCTATCAAAATTAAAAAAATCATTTTTTTTTAAATTTTCAAACTTAAATAACTCGGTTATTTTGGACTTATTTGAAAAATGGTAAAGAAAAAATATGTTTCTTTTATCGAGATCTACCAGCCCTGAAAATATTTGCACCTATTTAAGACTCACCCTGTATAATAAAAGTAACGGCGAATTGTTGTAGGCACAATAATAGCCGAGATGGTTACAGCTCTGGCAAGATTTGATATGGGTTGGCGCGGCTTAGTTCGATTCTCGATGACCCCATATAACTTTTTTAAATGGTTTTGATTTTTTTATCCTTTTGAATTCAACAAAAATATTAGGTGTCAACTATATTACTAGCCAATAAATTGTAGAGGTTTGAGAAATTTTGTGTAGTTATACATATAATAAAGCTCGTAATAAAGTGGGAGATCGCTCTAACATAAATAACAATTCCGGTTTCGTCGTAAGAAAAAGTAACCTTAATTTTGTTATTTTAAATAAAAAACACCCTGTAAATTTTTATATCCCTCTAGTAAATGTAAGTCGAAATGGTGCTTCATCTTTTTTTTATATATTTAATAGTTTCGGAGATAATAGCGTTCAAAATTTTAACTTTCTTTTTACCATTCAAATAAAATTTTAAAAAAATATATACAGTGTGTCCAAGATAAGTATATCTCGAAAAGTATTTTATAGATACGTAAAACGGTTCATCACGAAAATTATTCTAAATGTATGGCGTACACATGAGAGGATTTCCAGGGGATGTACCGAGGATGTACTAGAGGATGTAGGGGATGTACCGGGGATGTACCGAGGATGTAGTGGATGTACCGAGGATGTAGGGGATGTACTAGGGGATGTACGAGGATGTAGGGGATGTACCGAGGATGTAGGGGATGGACCGAGGATGTACTGGAGGATGTAGGGGATGTACTAAGGATAGAGGATGTAGGTGTACACTTTTTGCCCTATGTGTTTACCCCTCGGAACTTTTATTCTTTCTCAAAGATAAAAATCCATTAGGGATAACAAGCACGGTCCGGCAACCTTGACGACCAACGGCTCGGATTTTGGTTAGCTATTCAATTATTCTCGAAATTGGCTGCAAAAATTTGCTGATAACTTGAGCGTTCTGAGGCGGGTAAGTTACTGGAAAAATATGTTTTCGAGCTCCATTAGGGGCAGATCATCAACAAGGTGTCCAAAGCCTACTAGTTAAAAGTGGCGAACTTATAAAAATTCTGTATTTCGAAGAGGACTATAACAAAATATATCAAGTGTGCTATATTTTTGGAAAGGTAGTTTTACGTTCTTTTCACTAAATTAAAAATGTACAGGGTATCCCACATAAAATCAATTTTTCTGTTAATAGACAGTTAAAGCAAGGCACAATACGTATACGTATCTCTCGAGACGTAACGCAGAAACTTACGTTACCTCTGCCGTTGCGTTATCGTGTAAACAAGAGTTAAAGCAAGTATTTTGACGTACGTAACGCAAATGGTACATTTGTAATTCTAAATTATTTTGTGAAACAATTTATTTAATTTTAAAATTGAAAATGGATATCTATTATTTCATTGATTCCACATTTAATTTATAAAAGTAATATCGAAAAATGAAGAAAATTATAAATCGAAATTATTTTATTACAGAAAGTAGTCCTTACAACTTAAAATGCTCTTCGTAATAAAAAAATATTGGACAACAGACACAGCTTTATGATTATTTATTAGATTCCATCTTTTAGAATCCTCATATGGTTTTGGCAATAAGAATGATGCTTAATATTTTCATACTAATTTATTGTAATAAAATAGGCCCAGTTCTGTGACACTGGCCCCAAAATTTATAAAATAACTTAATTACTAGCCAGTTGTGGAAACGAGTTGTTTGTGAATTTGTACGTTCGGCATCATTCGGGTGAAAACCGAAACTCCTTCGGCTCGATACGTTTGCGTTTTGTACGTACGTAAAGGCACGTAAAGATACGTATCACGTATCGGTAAACGCAAGTGAATTTCACACTGCGCAAGCGTACATGTCAAACGATACGTTTACGTCTACGTTTTTGGCAGTGCTTTAACTGTCTAATAACTCTTAAATTATTAATTTTTAAAAAATGATATTTAAACCATTAAATTCTACGTAAAAAGGTGATTTGGAAAAAATATTTTCACAAAAATACAAAATTTTCCATAGCATAAAAGTTAGCATAGCAAAGTCAGTCAATTATATGTAAATAATATACATGTACTGATTTCTTTCCTATGAAACTATGATCCCTTCCCCGACACAAACGTTACATTGTGAGAGGAAATTGTAGAGAGAAACAAGCCCTATAACATAGGATACAACATTTTAATGAACAGTGCTTTCCACAAAATCAATAAAACGAAAAATATACGAAATAATACACATGTACTGATTTCTTTCGAAAATCGACAACTATGAAACTATGATCCCTTCCCCGACACAAACGGTACATTGTGAGACAGGAAATTGTAGAGAGAAACAAGCCCTATAACATAGGGTACAACATTTTAATGAACAATGCTTTCCATAAAATCAATAAAATGAAAAATATACGAAATAATATATATGTACTGATTTCTTTCGAAAATCGACAACTATGAAACTATAATCTTTTTCCCGACACAAACGGTACATTGTGAGACAGGAAATTGTAGAGAGAAACAAAAACAAATAACTAGGATACAACATTTTAATGAACAGTGCTTTCCATAAAATCAATAAAATGAAAAATATACCATTAGTCATAGCAAAAAACAGCGATTTGTTAAAAACACATTTTTGTAAAACACCCCGTAACGTTTTCACCGTTCTGTCAAATCATGTTTTTGATAAAAATTGAGCTCCAGACACCAATATTAGTTTTCGTCGTTTTGTTATCTCCTATAGAAAAGGTTTTTTTTTTCCTTTAAAAGCGTCGAATTTGACCCACCCTGGCCCTGTACAATTGTCATCTTTCTAACGCACTTAATGCGTAAATAGATATCCAAGTAGGAATTATTACAATCCCTTTTTCCAGATGTTGAAATCATCGTCATACAATGGCTACGGAGAGGCCCTCACCAGCCAACCGCGATCCTCCAGATCGACGCCATCCAACGTCGAGGCCACGATGGACCTCAGCTATGTCACCGAGAGGATCATATCCATGTGGTTTCCGGCCTCTACAACGTCGCATTCGTACAGACTGGGGCAGCGACAAGCAGCGCACATGCTGAGCAACAAGCACGGAGATAATTATATGGTGAGTAGAATCACAAAGATATCATGCATTCAGTTGCGTACCTCAATAAGAGCACATGTACCTCTATGTAGTAGTAGCACATGCCATTCTATACGGGGTGGTCCGAACTGTATTCCGGAAACTTCAGCAGCATATTCTGCAGATAAAAATAAGTAAAAAAGTTCTTATAAATGTCCTAAATTAGCTTAGTTTCGGAGATACAGGGTGTGGAAGTTTCATTTTTATTTCGATTTTTTCCAAATAATTTTTGAAGTAATGTCAATATTTGGATGAAAATTGGTGCCTGGGAGTTTTTTGATATGAGAAATTTGATTTTGATGTCAATATGACTACTACTTGTAGAGGGCACCACCTACATATTTTTAACTGGTTTGAAGAGTATACATGTATAAAACTACGGAGTAAAAAAATATACATTTACGGCGTTTTTTACATAAAAAAGGTCTCTGTAATTAATACCTGTCATCATTGACATAAATTAAACATGTTGACTAAATAGTTATTAGACTGAAATCATAAATTTGAAATGTTTTGTGCCAAAAGTTCAACAGAAACTGTTTTATAGTCATTTTTTCTAAGAAAAATTTATGGTCAATTTAAAAAAAATAAAAGTTCCCAAATTTATTATTTCAGTGAAATAACTATCTACTCAACATTTTATTTTTTGTCAATAATGACATGTATTTACTATTTCCTTTCTAAATATCTTGAAAACGGTTGCTCGTAGCGATTTTTACCAAGAGACATTTTTTACGTAAAAAATCACGAAAATGTATATTTTTTCATTCAGTAGTTTTATACAGGTACGGACGAAAAGTTATTACTCTTCAAAACAGTCAAAACACATGTAGGTGGCGCCCTCTACAAATAGGAGTCCTATTGACATCAAAATCAAATTTCTCATGTCAAAAAACTCCCAGATACCAATTTTCATCCAAATATCGACGTTACTTCAGAAATTATTTGGAAAAAATCAAAATTCAATAATACCTGTATCATAGATACAGTACCTGAATTTTTAACCTGTATCTCCAGAACTAAGCATTTTAGGACATATATTTATACGAAGTTTTTTACTTATTTTTATCTGCAGAATATGATGCCGAGGTTTGCGGAATACAGTTCGAACCACCCTGTATATTCCAAAAACTGTTCGTCATAGACTTGAAATTAGGAACTACTAACACTAAAACGTTTCTTCTTTTAAGAGTATTTTTTCGGCGTGGTAGTGTGATATTTTTTTCTTATGTTGTGCACCCCCAAAGCATTGATCTGCCGCTAAGTCGAGGTCATACCCTTTCAATCATTTCTGTACGAACTATATACTCTGAGATCTCCGCCCTTTCATAGTCTTAACGCACGTTCCTTCGCAGCATTACCACACAATAACGCACCGGGCAGAAAAAGTCAGCCCAACTATATAATTATGCCCATATTCGACAGGCGACAAGTGGGCAGTTTACGTCTGACCCCGTATGCGAAAAAGCGCCAAGTGTTTTTGGCCGCGAGCACACTCTTGACGATGATAAAGATCGTTGATTTCTTTTACGATTAAAAAATTCGCATTAACTTTTAACACTCTTAGATTGAAGTTAATGGCCAAAGAAACTTTGTATGCTATACAACGACATGTTCTGGTAACAATACAGATTCTGTATTGTTACCATAACATGTCATACCATGACATAATGTATTACAGATAGTGAACCAAAGAACAAATTGAATAGCGGAGTGCCTGGTTTAACGCTCTGGTTTTAAAACCAAAGAGAGATTGTCGCGTATAATCGAAATCGCGTATATTGAGAGAAACTTTTTAATACATGAATACACGATGAGTCTATAAGGTGGTGAGGTTTTTGTAGGATGTATGGGAGGAGGGTTAATCATCGCGATCTTACAGATCTATTGTGTCCCTCTTTCTTGAGTTATAACTCATCATACAGTCTCAGGGCATTGTACCCCAGTGCAGTTATGACATTCACCACGTTGAAATTGCAAAAATTTTTAGAAAGCTGCGACTATTGAAAATAGTTAGCCTTAGTAACCCTTATTAACATACTAAAAGTCCCCATTTCTCCGATGTGTGCGTCAACAAAAAAAAATCGGCCGCCATCTTGAATTTTGGTACTTTTTGGGAGAAAATGTAAATAACTCGAAAACGGTTTGTTATAGCGAAAAACTTCGAGAAGCAAAAATTAAAGAGAATAATTAAACAGTTTATTATCGCTCTTAAGGATGCTTCAGTATCGGAAAAGATTTCTTGTTTTTCATAGTTCTTATTAGTCTTTTTTCGTGAAAAAAATAAAATTTAATATTTTTAATTAAAAATCATAATATCTTGATAAACAGCTACAGTTCATATGAAATAAATTTTTAATCACGTGATTAAGCTTGACCGGCACAGCGTCGCCCACTCTTATATATTTAAATAACAAAAATAAATTAATTATAAATATATAAACAGTTATTATTTCCACCAACAAAACTCACCTTCTTAACAGCACTTACGTGCATTACGTAATGTCCATTACTAACGCTTTCCCGTTCAAAATATTCCAATAAAGTTGCGATGAGTTTTTTGCGGCTATTAAGCTATCTTGTAGACTTCGCACTAAAGGAGGTTCTAAAAAGCACAATGTTCGACTGCAAAGTCTGCTAGTAAATATTTTTAAGATTAAAGTATCACAATACTATTTATTTAGACCAAAAACTTCTAATACAAAACAAAAGTGTCAAAACGAATGACAATGTCAGGAAATAAATAAGTGAATATGGCAACTTGACATTTTTTACAGCAGGGCTACCACCTGAAAGATTAAAAACGATAGAACGTTTCCAGATACACATATATATTTCCAAAAAAAAATGTTCTCGTATTTTAAACTACACGATTTAAAAATAAGTTTCTTCTTTTTTTCTCAATAAAAAAAAGGTAAATATAAACTACAACCTTCTTAAGGCCAACTGGCAGTAAGCGCCATTAAAAAATAAAGAAGAGTACGAGCCAAGTAATGACGACTAGGGCTTGACCTCGCCAAAATTATCATCGATTTTCATTCCCCAGTCGTCTTTGACGCCGTTTTTTTTTCATCGTATGGTATTACTTATATGATGAATAGTAAGCAAAAAAGCAAATAAAATAAACCTTTTCCCCATCTCTTTCTAATAAAAGGAGGTGTTCCTTCGGGTTATATTTTAATATCCACAGACACACTCCTCCCCGGACACATGGGACGTAACTCAGCGAAGAGGAACAGGAAGAGCAATGCCGGAGGTTGTAAAATTTTCATCTCGAAAAGCGTACGGTTTCCGTTTTGATCTTCTGGCCGATGAAAGGAAAATAAATTTCTTTTTTTAGCGGTTACAAGAGTTAGAAAACACACATCAGAGCAGTAAATAAAGAAGAAACATTTAAAAAACAAAATTAAACTCAATAAAATCTAACAATATATCTTGAAAACTATTTATGGAAAAAATCATTGAATAATAAGAGTAAATCTTGATTTTCATGCTTCCGTTATCCGTTGATACCATGGTCTGACGATCCTCTGATTGGTCATAGCGTCTTTACTCCAACCCGTCAACAAAGAAAGGTCGTACGATAACGGACGTTTTGACACTTTTTTGGCAAATTTATTCTAACCTTAATAAAAATATAATAGTACACGAGCTAGCACCGTCGCCGTTGGGAAAATGAGAATTTTAAGAAAGCTGGTTCTTTAATATATCTTTTGCTATGCTCTCCTGACCAAAGTGCGGGCCTTCAGGCTGCCGATAGAGTACTGCACTTTACGACTGCGCATCACATCTGTACAGGGTATCCCATTTTCGTGTCGTTTAGGGGATTTCTCGTTTATGAGTAGAGATACAATGATGCAATTTTTACGTTACTTTGCTACTTTTTTATGAAACTAAATATGCTACACATATGTTTGTCCTAGTCTCATTAGTTCCTGAAACACAGAGCGAAATTGTGATGCGCAGTAGTGAACAGATGTTGAATACAGATATGATGCGCTGTAGTGAACGGAACGTCTACCGGCAGCCAGACGGTCCGCACTCTGTTCAGTAAAGCATAGCAAAAGATATATAAAAAACAGTTTTTTTTTTAAATTCTCTCTCGAAAACGTTGCTATCTCTTAGACTCTAAGTAAAACAAAGAAATCGTTATGGAAATGAAAATATAAAATGACACCAATTACAAGCAAATCGTATATCTGATGAACGAAGACATGAAAATGCAATAAATTTAAAAATTGCGTAATTTTCTAACCAATCGAAGTCCTTAAATTCAACCAATAAAATTAATATATTATCATCGTATCGTCGTACAACGGATACATGAAAATTAAGCTTAAGGCAGCGCAAAAATAAAGAAAGGTAAATAGATAATGAATGATCTTAATATTTACAAAGATATCTTGTTGCAGGTTTTTAATTTATCCGAACCAAAGAGGGCCTTAAGGAACGAACACAAATTTGTGAAGGAAGTGGGCTGGATGACAAACTTGGCGCCACCTCTGGAGAAGTTGTGCAGCGTTTGCAAGGAGATCGATTCGTGGCTGTCCAAAGATCAACCCAGGATAGCAGTACTACATTCTAGGTACTCATATTTTATCAACTTCTTGTAAATTAAACGGGATTTGCAAATTTTTCAAACTGAGTAGTTGGTGGTACAATTCGTGCGATGTGTGTGACTGCCGCTAGATGGCGAGATCATATAGACCTCGTCAGTGTAGTAGTACCTAATTTACTTTTAATTACTCTTAATAGTAATCAGAATACTAGATAAAGTGAAAATAAGTGGAATGAATACTGAAATGCAAGTTTTGTGCATTTTAGTGTAGGTTGTTTTATTCTATTACAATCTAATATTTACTAGAGATTTAAAATTTGTTTAAAAATTACATTCAAATATTTTTATTTATGAAAATATATGCTACTTCTGTATACTATTTTTATTTAATTTATTCCATTTCACTGAAACACACTGTACAGGATGGCGCGGCGTCTCTCATATGCCGCGGAGGCTCCAAGGAGGATGACAGTTTGTATTGAAATGACATTTTGTGAGCATATGTAGGTTAATTCAGATCACTCTTTAAAAATAAAGATAGTTCTACAGGGTGTCCCTAAAAAAATTACATATCAAAGTTGTGGTTTTTGTAATTGAACACCCTATATATTAATTGCCTTTCTGGGAGAAGAATGAAGGTGAGTTTTATAAGAAAAGTATATGACTAAAATGTAAGGTTTTTGACACATTTAACATTTTCTAGAAATAAAGAACAATTTTTAAATTACAATAAAAGCTACCTTAAATCGGAATTTACCCGGTACAGCCTAATTTGTAGTTAAATTAACTATTCTACTTTAAATCAAATTAAAACTTGGTCCAAAAAGTTGTACAGGTTGAGACTAAATCAATATTGAACAATATTCACCTTTGAAAGCATGTTACTCTTTTATTTTAAATGGAACACCCAGTATATTATTCCGATATTCAATAGAGAATTAATGTCTCTTCCAAATACCATTAAGGTTGCCTACCCCTCAAACAAAGATTTTCCTAGATTATTCATTTTATTTACATGATTTGATCTGAGTAGATCTTTATTATTTGATAAAATCTAGGAGGCTGGTAATATGTCTGACGTTACTTCAACTACTTCAACATAGCTGTCTAATTAGTCCAACTTTAACAACTAGTTATCATTTTATGAGAGTTAAAATAAAAAAAAATTCTCAGAAATTTGCCGAAAATGCAAACTTATCCTACATCAGAGAGAATCGATATGATTCTATTAGTTGGTGAATACTTAAATGCTCCTGAGTTTATCTAGTCTGTTTTTTTTTATGGGAATATGTTAAAGACAGTGTTTACAAAACTTGACCAACTATTGATGACAACATGAGAGAAATTATTGTAGCTGCTTTTCGAGGTAGAACTCCACGTATGTCTTTTAAAATGAAAAGATCATTTTGAAAACACAATCATTGTATGCAGTTAACAGGAAAGGAAGCATTTTGAGCATTTGATTTTATCGCTAATTTTTGTCACATAATTACTTAGGTTTATATCTAGTTTTAATTCTGTAATAATTAAAATATGTTTTGAACGTGTATCTTTTTATTGCCGTTGAGTATTTTACTCTAAAATCTTTAATTTTTGTTAAATTAACAAAACGTATATCACACAGCCACCCTAGATTTTTTCAAATAATAGAGATCTACTAACGCAAAATCATAAAAATTAAAATATCCAGGAAAATCTTTGTCTGAGAGGTAGGCAAACTTAATAATATTTTGAATATATACAAATTCCCCATTGAACACCGGAAAAATATACTGGGTGTTTCATTTAAAATAAAGGAGTAACATGCTTTTAAAAGTGACTAATGTTCCATATTAATTTTGTTTCATCCTGTATAACTTTTCGGGTAATATTTCAATTTGGTTTAACACAGAATGGTTACTGTAGTCCACTAAAATTTAGGTAGCTGTTATCGAAATTTAAAATTTACTCTTCATTTTCACAAAATGTGAAACATGTCAAAATCCTTAGATTTTAGGTATATGCTTCTTTAATAAAACTCACTTTTACTTTTTTCCTAGAATCCGAAAAGCAATTAATATATAGGGTGTTCCATTAGAAAAAACACAACTTTGAGGTGTAACTTTTTTTGTGGATACCCTGTAGAATTCTATATATTTTTATAAAATACGTTCAGTTAACCTACATGTGCTGCCAAAATTTAATTTCGATATAAACTACCGTTCTCCTTGGAGCTTCCGCGGCGTATGAGAGGCGCCACCCTGTATACATTTCTGTAAAGCCAATAATAGACGAATATCGAAAATGTGTGCATATTTATTATTATATGAATTGGTTAGACATTCCCGATGTACTTGTCTTTAACACCTCGGTCACGATCTCGACTTCACTATTTTATGAAGAGACTCACCCAGGCAATTTCATCCGACTGTTATAAGACCTTTTCACCTATTTAATTGCATTATTACGCTATTACAGAGCGTAGTAATTTGAGTTGTCGCTCGGGCCGTAATAAAGTTTCAATATGGTGGTGTTATTTTAGATTTAACTTGACTTTAATTGAACTTAGAGGAAACACTATGATTATTAATATGACCAGAAATGGTTTCTATATTATGTATACCGGGTGTTTTTCAAAAGTGGCTCACACAATAATTTAATTATAATGTTGGAGTTAGTGAAACGCTATTGGCGCCGGGAGGCACGTATAGCCGCCCATACTAAAATATGTTAATAAAAAGTTGATAGGCAGTTCTTTTAGTTTCAATGTAAAGGAATTTTTCCAATTTTTTTTTTTATATTAAAACCCGCGACTTTGACTGATTTTGATGTTATTACAAATTTTGTTGCAAATATTATTCCTAATCTTGAATTGAAAACCGCGTTTCGCTAGCCACTGTAATTTTGGAATTACGATTTTTTTTAATTTTTAACTCCCTCCCATACCCCCTTACCAACCCCCCACCCCCACCAAAAACTAATGGCCAGATTCTCGGGTGCCACCATAGAGGGTGCCACAGTATCTTTGTGCCAAATTTGGTTAAAATCGGTTTAGCGGTTTTAGAGTTATCGTGTTACAGACGGCAGACGGACAGACGGACAGACAGACACCATGAAAATATTTTGTATTTAGGTCATTTATGACCCAAATAACTCATTTTGAGTGAAATTAAAAAAACTTACTACCATACCTGTTGGTATGGTCGGCTAATAATGAAATGAATAATTATATTAAATTTTAAATTTCGCCATTTTGTTTTTTTTCTAGGGGTTCCAAAGAAAAAGTAGGGGTAATAGTGGCAGCCTACATGCATTACTCCAGCATATGTGGTACAGCTGAGCAAGCATTGGACCGATTTTCGATGAGGAAATTTCTGGAAGACAACGTGGGACCTCTAAGGCTGCCTTCAAATAAGAGGTACTTACTTGAACAATTTTCAAACTGATCAGAAATTTTAAAAACTCAGAAATTTTAAAAATATTGCTTACATATTGAGAATCACCGGCATCAAAAGGTGCCAACATTGCAAGGCTTCAATACACCGTCAAGAAATTTCAGAAAAATGAACCTGTGGGACTAAAAAGTTCCTTTATAATTTCTGGAAAAATGTTAATATAAAGTATTCTCTTTTCACACGTTTGAGGTATTTTTTCGAAAAAAAAAAGATCTTGAAAATCGTGCATTCTCTTTTAAATTTTTTGATATCACCATAGTTACGGTTTTAATCTATGGTTACAGCACTAAAAGCGATGCAAATACAGAAAAAATCCGGTGGCTTTATTTTCACACTTGAATAACTCGGTTATTTGGGACTTATCGAGAAAATTGTAAAGTGAAAATATGATTCTTTTATCGAGATCTACCAGCCCTGAAACTATTTGCACTTATTTAAGACTCACCCTCTATATCTATTAATCTATTCTGATTTTTTTTTAGATACGTAGATTATTTTGCTGGCCTTTTATCTCACAGCATCAAGATCAACGCTGCGCCACTTTATTTGACGCACGTCACTGTGCTGGGGGCTCCATCTTTCCAAAATGGCGGCTGCAAGGCCTTTCTCAAGCTTTACGAAGGGCATAATCCAGTCTACACATCAGGTAAAGGAAACAAATAGTAGTAGTAGTAGTAGTAGTAGTCGTAGTTTGTAATACCACAGATTAGGTATACGATATGTATACAGATAAAAATCTTATCCCTAATTCGTGGTACAAAAATTGTTTTTTAGACGATGAACAAACGAAGAAAAATTCTCTGTGCGTAAAAATAAACTCGCGTAAAATAACAATAAACAGCGTAATAGAGAGATATCGGTAAATCGAATAGCGTGCATGGACGTTAATAACGTCAGGTGGTATTTCCGTTACGTGAGGTAGTATTAACTCTCTTCATTTATAGTTATCGGATCGGAAGAATTCTGTTCGCGTCGCGTCCCCTATTTAAACTTAATCTAACTTTGAATTTAAAACTTTGAAATTGTTTTGTTTACTAGGTATTTTAAAACTAAAGCGCTAAAGTGCTTATTTCCAGTGCTTTATTGTTCAAAGTCTGCCAGTGGGTTTAGAGCAACAAATTCTCTTAGAAGGTCTAACTCGTTATCTGCCGTAAACCTAAGCCTCTTTATAGGTTCTTTAATGTTGGAAGAGGTGGAATCCATATTTTGAGCCATATTTATTTAATTAAAACTAATCTCAGCTACTTAAATATCAAATTACCTAATAAAACTAAAGTAATAATTCAAAACAATTCAAACATAACCTAAAATAAAAGATCTCGCCGGCCGGCCGCGATTATCAAATACCCACACATGCCCATTTAAGCAATTTTTAAACGTTATTTAGAAATAGCGCTTGGTGTAATTGATCCGCAAATTACGTCAGGCGGTAACGTTATTAGCAGGCGTTGCGTTATAAATTGACTCGCATATCGTAAATCGTAACTGTCATAATAAGGTACACGTAAATAATGCATGACGCTATTCGGTTTACCCATATCTCTCTCTGTCAAAATATAACGTAGGCGTAAATACTGCATGACGCTATTCGGTTTTCCGACATCTCCCTAATAACTGGGCCGGTCAGGCGCTGTGTACAATTTTAGAGGCCATAAGTGGGCGTGCTATGTGCGCAAACTAGTAACCTAACCAGTGCCCGATTCCGAAAATTGGAACCACGAAAAACAATAAAGAAAAAACAAAGTTTATAATCTCTATAATCTGTGGTAGTACTGGATGTTTACAATAGCCGAAGTTAGGCGAGGTCGAGGATATGCCATCAACGGTGAATCACCCTGTATATTGTTCTAGCTAATGATAACATGACTGCACACGCGTAATTAATAAAGATCGTATGGAAATAGTTAGAATGTAACATAATCTGCAGCGGATATAGGAGTCACCATTTTTCCTATGTAAATGGATATCTCGTTCTCTGTCGCACAGTAATAATTCTTGATTTTGACCTAGTTTATTTTTCAATGACAAAAGCGCAGCACATAAAACGTATTATGTTTCACTTAGATATGTCTTTATTGCAGTTTTGCATAATTTATATTCTAGAGAAGGTCAAAAAACTATGCTAATGTCAATTAAATAAATGAGAAATGTAATAAACTTAGTTGGTAGTTATACAGATCCGGCAACAGTGCGTCGGGCATCTGTAGCTCTTAGAATAAAAAACTTGAGAATTTTGTTTAAGTATAAACCTAAAGTATGTACCAGGATGTATTTCAGGAAAATATTTTAACTTCAATAGGGTGGCTCAAAAAAGTGTGAATGGATTAGGCTGACCGTTTTTAAATGGAACACCCTGTATATTATTGCATTTTTGGCTTCCTTTCAGATCACTTTACATAATCCTAAAATCTGAAGAAATATATTTCCACAATTTCAGAGACATCAATAAATAAATAAAAAATATTTATTTTCAAGCTTCTTTAAAAAAATTATTACAAAATACAAGAACTGTCCCGATATCAAAATATTAGGTGATAACTTTAGATGGCCTATACTTATACTTACTTTACTATAAATATCGTAATTTTAAATCATACAGGGTGTTCATAATTCTACGTCAAACTTTCTAAAATATAAAATAATTTTTCTTTGTTTGATTCAAATTAAATAAAAAACACCCTGTATATTATTTTTTTATTAGATGAAGAGTTAAAAATTAAACATTTTTTTATATTTAAGGTATTTCAATGTCTTTTAATGGTTTTGCAGATACACACAATACAGGGTTGTTCACCACATACGACACGGAATATTATAGCTAAACGATTAGATTTTTACAAATTGTAAGTTTTGGGTTCGTTAAAGGTGTATTAGAGCTACAATTTAAAAATATTTTTTACAAGATACAGAGTGTCCCAAATAAGTAAAAAATATTATAGTTGTATTTTTTTAAATGGAACACCTTGTATATTATTCTATTTTTAGATTCTACGGTTGAAATAAAGGTATATTTGATTAAGGTTTATCATACTTAAACCTTACCGTTTTTGAAATATTTTCAATTATATGAAATTGCAGTAAAAAAATTAAGGCTTTATTTCTCCAAGGGTATCAAAGTTTTTAATACTAAATATTTACTGAAGATTATTTATTGATCAGATATTGTGTTGCAATAATAAAAATTTTACTACCTTATACAGAGTGTCCAAAAATTTATATTAAATAATTACTAGCTTTAAACGGCAATAACTTGTTTAATTTAAATGGAACACTCTATATATTTTACGTGAATCAGATGCACAATGTAATATCATGTAGATACCATTTTTCACCCATATCTTGAAGTTTTCGTAGAAAATGCATTTTCTTATAATTTAGACCTCATTTATCACTATACCCATGGAATATTGACATTTTAGCTTATTTTTAAAAATGTAACAATTTTTTAAAGAGTACAGATACTAATATTGTCGATATTGTTCGCTTATTTAATTAAAAAATAAAAATAAAACTGTTTAAATATTTTTTGTTAAAGAGGACCAATTAATATGATCCCAGTATTCAAACTACATTAAATTGACTGTTTACGTTAAAGTAATAACTGTTACTTACATTGGTAATTACCAAACCAAATACTAAAAAACTGAATTTTGTGTGTGTATTAGACAGTGTGGTAAATAGTAACACCTTATAAATTTTATTTCATTTATTGACGAATGCTTATTTATAAAAACAGAGTCATTCATTTTCATAACTTATTATTATATTGATTTCTGAGCCAAATCCACATTTATTTAGAATAATTTGTTAATTAAAACAATTTACAAGTATGTAATTAACTAACTTTTGATGTTTTTTTGTAAGAAATAATGGTGGTATATTTAATTGGTATACTCTTTTAAAAAGATTTAAATAGTTTTTTGTATGCCAATGGGCTTGCAATATTTACCACCTGTACATTTTGTACATATTATGGTGCTATAAAAAAATCTGAAATGTCAATATTCCATGGGTATAGGTATATGGGTATATATGGGTATATAAATGAGGTCTAAATTATAAGAAAATGAATTTTCTACGAAAACTTCAAGAGATGGGTGAAAAATGGCATAATACAATTTGATAGACAATTACATTGTGCATCTGATTCACGTAAAATATATAGGGTGTTCCGCGTAAATTAAACAAGTTATTGCCGTTTAAAGCTAGTCATTATTTAATATACATTTTTGGACACTCTGTATAAGGTAATAAAATTTTTATTATTGCACCACAATATCTGATCAATAAATAATCTTCAGTAAATATTTAGTATTAAAAACTTTGATACCCTGGGAGAAATAAAGCCTTAAAATTTTTACTGCAATTTCATAAAATTGAAAATATTTCAAAAACGGTAAGGTTTAAGTGTGATAAACATTAATTAAATTTACCTTTATTTCAATTGTAGAATCCAAAAATAGAATAATATACAGGGTGTTCCATTTAAAAAAATACAACTATAATATTTTTTACTTATTTGGGACACTCTGTATCTTGTAAAAATATTTCTAAATTGTAGCTCTAATAGACCTTCAACGAACCCAAAACTTACAATTTGTAAAAATCTAATCGTTTAGCTACAATACTCCGTGTCGTATGTGGTGAACAACCCTGTATTATTTCAATTGGCTCTTTCAACGGTAAAATACGAGAGAAAACTAATTTGGTAGCTTTGATAAAAATTTACTGTGGAAAATGCCATATGAAATATAAAACCGTGAATATTTGCGAAACCGTTAAACATTTTGAAATACTCTTATTATTATGTTTAAATTATCTAGAGAAGCTCAACAAATTGAGCAAAGAAAATAAAGTCCTACTCTGGGTGCCTGCTCACCAAGGGATAGAAAGCAATGAAAAAGCAAATGATCTAGCTAGAAAAAGAGCGAACACTCCACTAACTGGACTAGAACTGTTCTGTTTTCCTAACGAAAACCAATTGAAAGCAGAACTGAAGAATCTGGAAGACTCCATCCGTAACTTAGAATGGGAGTCCTCAAACGGTCTAAGACACTCGAAAAAGTTCCTCATACTTACGACCGAGAAAAATCAAAGATTTTCCTTGATATAAGTAAAAACAATCTTCGGATTATCACGGGGTTTCTAACAGGACACTCCTCAACGAACACCTCAGTAGGCTGAAGCTGAGAAACAACGGCGAATGCAAATTCTGTAGGGAAAATGAGGAAACACCAGAACACCTTATCACTGAGCGCGCCGAGACGACGACCGTTCGTGCCATGAACTTTGGTACGGCTGATGTCGTGGATGGAAGTCTGGCCTCTGTGTAGCCGTCTCAGATACTGGCTTTTGTTAAAGCCCTGAGATTGTATGATGAGTTATAACTCGTTATAACTCAAGAAAGGGATACAATAGATATGTAAGGTCGTGGTGATTAATTGCCCTCCTGAACATTCTACATTCTACTTTCTTCATTTAATTATAAGCAGTAAATAAATACAAAATTTTACTATTATTTGTTACACTATGCCAATGTATTAATACATTTTATTTTCTTTTCAGGTGTTTATAATGTGTCTAATGGCATTTCTCAGTTCACTGTCAACGTTGCCGGTGAAAGAAAACGCGGTCTCCAGCTGCGAGGTGACATCCTGATCAAATGTTACCATCGAGGTACCGCCAACGACCGAGAACCTATATTCGCGTGCCAGTTTCACACGTGTGCCGTAGCAGACCACACCCTCAGCTTCATCAGACAGGAGTTAGATGTTGCTTGCAATGGTGAGTATCTCAGACAAATCATATGGATATAAAAACCTTACTGTACAATATGAAAGTACCCAAGTAAAAAGGATGTAAACAGGAAAATGCTAGGTTACCACTTATTTATTAAAAAAATTATTGACGACGCCGACGACTCTTTTTGTATTTCTCAGTTATTCTCCATGTTTCTGCTCCATATAGAAGGCTGCTCTTTATCATGGTCTCATAATATATTGAATTTTCTTCGTTTTGTTATTGATTTGCTCCACAAGATTCCATTTAGACATCCGATTGATTTTTTTCGCGTTGATAATCCTTTTCTCTATTTCTCTGCCATCAGTTCCAGTGCTATTAAATGTAATTCCCAGGTATTAATACTCTTGACACTGAGTAATTTCTTGACCGTTGTCCAAGTTCAAATTTCCTTCTTGTGCGCCTATACATAGGTATTTTGTTTTGTATACATAAATATTTTGTGATTGATATGCCAAATCACGAAAAAAAAAACGGGGTTTAGTTTGCTTGGAAATGACGATCGAGGACAATCTTCAGATTGTTTCGATCAATTTTATAATGTTTACATTTTTAAGATTATTTTTTGTCAAAAATGTGTGCTTGGATGGTGTGAGACTTTCTATCTTTTTATTAAACTACGACAAACAGTCTGTGCTATGGAACGTTAAAATTTATTATAAATAGAATTTACAAGTTAGTATTTTGGACAGTGGCGACAGTGGCTGATCAGCCAGTACCTATATTGTGTCTATATCATATGGATATGATCTAACATCTAATGCCGGGTCCAGACCAAGGCGACAAAAAGTAAACACGATTTTGAGACAAAAACAAAACAAACTTGCGACAAAAAATGGCGAACTCTGACAAGACAAACTTGAGACAAATTGTCCACACCACAAGGACAAAAGTACAAAAGTTTAGTTGTTGCGAATGAGTTTTATTAACAATGTGTGATTTCACTGGTCTCCTAGTTGGCAGCACATGCCATCCACACTGCGCCGATAACTTGTCGTAAAATATGCAAACAAAACATAAACACTTTGATCTTTACCGACTCGAGACGGGACATTGAAAAGTCTCCGAATTTTTAAACTAAACAAAAATGAGACAAAAATGTCGCAGAAATGTATTGGATTTGTCGCAATTTTGTCGTAAAACATGAATGTTTCTGTCTTGTCGTTGTTTTGTCTGCTTGGTCTGGACCCAGCATAAGGAGACAATTAATATAAATTTTACTAGACATATCGTTTACAAATTCTGATTTTCACTGAGAGGTAAATAAAGACTTGTAAATAAGTTTGCGAATAATAGATTATTAATAACTTGCGATTATCGCAGCTTTACAAATATACCTACCCCAAAACAAGATCTGTAGGATTACACTGACGAGATAATAGTACCAATAAATATAAATTAAATATTTAATTATTAGAAATGTAGATAATATTAAATACATTTTTAATTATCTTTATGCCCAGTCATGCCAGTGATATAATTAGTCATTCATTGATTGTTAATTCATAAACATCTTTTTACTAATAAATAATATGACATAAAGGAAATGGTCTCACCACAATACCTACCTATTATTTAATTAATCACACAATATATTAATTTGAATAATTTTACTACAATATAAAGATAACACCAATCCTTGAAGGAAAAAAATAATTTTTATTATAAAATTTGTTTATAATCTGTTGGGTTAAAATAATAATATTGTTTTTAAAGGCATATTCACATATGTCAGTCAGAGTAATAAAAATAACAAAGTTCTTATGAAAATATGACAGACTAAACAAGAAAATATCGTTCACAACGAATTTAAGAGTCTATTACGCTGTACTTTCGGGTCGCTCTCGGGGGTCGGGTATAGCGGGTGTGTGGCCGAAGGAAATATGTATTATATTTCGGAAATCTGCCTAAGGCTTAGCCCAATCCTGTCGTGTTAAGCCACACCCAAAATTCCAAACACACTTGCTTTGATTAAGGCTTGATTAAGGTTTGCAGAGCTTCAGCATATGCTATAAAATAGCCAGCAATTTGTTACAAAACCATATAAATTATATATCACTGTAATCACAAAACTTCAATCTACTTCCGTATTGTAACGGAATTTTAAATTATGTCTTTATTTTCGAGAAAAATTAGTCCAAACATAAGGAATATTTTGTTGATGTTTGACCATCAAAATCTTAAAAATAAAGAAGTTGTCTAAAAATGTGCTACAATACGGTCATAGCATAACCCTTTATCTTTAATTTCCTGCTTCATTTGTGTAAAAATACCTAGCCAGTTTTACATAAAACGTTAAATGCCGAACGCCTATTTTGCTACTTTTTCGGTCTAGTTAAATGGACTCTTAGGAAATTATAAATAAATACAGATACTGAAATGAGATTGGCGGTAAAATCGGTGATGGAACCGAACATGTATGAACTTCTTCGTTAAAATTAAAGGCAACAATATATTTCTTATCGTAACTGAGACTGTTTGACGAAACGGAACGGATACGTGATTGAAATGTGAATAGACCTTAATATTGTCACAATTATATCAGGCTATTAAATATGGATTTAAAGTAATTAAACAATATTAAATGGATATAAGACGTCTCATAGTCTTTAATATATGACAAATCTTGCGGTAACGATGAATATGCTCTAATACGATTATAAAATCTCGTGAGTAATGTCGTGGCATTGTTAAATAACTAGAGTGATTAGAAATAGGTGATTGTGCAGGTGTAAAACATCGTGCCTAGAAAAAATATCTTCCTAAACAGGTAGTACCAAAATTAATTTATCATTTATTACCACTTCAGGGTACAATAAAATCTTAATATATCATCACTGAGACAGAAAACTAAACAATAGAAATGGGAGAAAGTCACTAAAAGTTGGCATGTATATCATACTTTTTTTAAATCAAATAAAATTTGTAATTTTGTCACATCAGATTTTTCACTTTTTTAGACACAATACATATACCGGGTGTTGCATTGTCGGACGGGACATAGGAAATCCCATGTAAATTTTAATGGGGTCAATTATTGGCTTCCCTAATTATTTTAGAGAATAATTTTATTTAGGTTTATTGAAGAGCACTAAAACCCACATTCAAAAGAATAACTTTAGATATTTTTGATTAGCTCGTCTACGAGTTATCGCCGATTTCTTTTTAAATATTTCTCCTTTCTTATGGCCCTGTATTTACTTATGAGCACCAGTCAAGGTAAAAGATAACTGTCAAATGAAGTTGTCATTTCAGAAATTTACCTATTTATTGCTTTAAATGAAGTCTTAAATGCGTCAAATGAAGTTGTCATTTCAGAAATTTACGTATTTAGTGCTTTATTATTATTGAAAACCATTGCCTGGAAACTTATATGGTGAAATTTTGATAAAATAATTTAGTACACACTAAAAACACGGTATGTCGCTAGTGGTAGGAAAAATAATTTTTAGCGGTTACTAGTTTATTTGGTTGCCTGTGATATGCATATACAAGGTGTTTCCTAATTAATCTAAAAAATAAAAAAATCGTTAGAAAACGAATTAAGGCGGGCTCTTAATAAGTATATTTATTTTTTTCTCGACAACCGTTTGATGAACAAGAAAAACTCAAAAGATCAATTTTGTTGAAAAAGGATGGCCAGTCAAGAAAAAAATATATTCTCTTTAAAAAAGTAGTGGTGTACCATTTATGTTAAGCAAAAAAATCGATTTTTTTAAATTTTTAACACCCTGTAGAACAGAAAGGAAGTACTTTAGACCCAATGATTATATAAAAATTGTTTTAAGAACACATGAGGAATAACACCATAATTTTTTTAGACTAATTCGAAAACACCCTGTATATTGTCAACTTGACAATGACTGCTGATAAATCAAAAAATACCTTTTCAGTGAAAAAAGCCTGATTTTCGCAGGAAAAATTTTGATTTTTATTGAATTTGGGCCTGCGTTTGCAAATGCTGGCTTGTTTTTTGATTTTCTATCTATCTAAATTTTAAATACATAGTCAGAAATAGTTTTATTATTTATTAACTGTAAAAATGGTGTTTTCTTGTTGTGTTGCATCTTGCAAAGAAACTAACAAAACTGCAAAAATGTACGTGTTTCCAAAAGACGATAAGGTATGTATCTTAGATAAAAGAAAATATATGGTATGTATTCGTTGTTTGATTTTTTTTTCGTTCGCTTTAAAATCTATAAATCTCGTCTATTCATGAGACAGCCAGTCGACTTACGATCATTTACATGAAACTCTGTAAAATAAATAAAAAAATAAATTGTAAAATATATATATTCTTATGTTTTATTAAAGTTACTCTGATATACTAATATATCAGTGTAACTTTAAAAATAAATCCTTTGAATTCAAATATAAACATAAAAAACGTTTACAGCAGAAAAGGCGAAGGCGCTGGGTTAAACGTAGTCTCCACTAAAAACACGGAGGGGCGCTTTGACCCAAAATTTTACTATTAAGTTTCATATCTATCTTAATAGGAGATTATTTTCTTTTATCTATGTTGAAAACTCATACCTACATCGAAAATATTAACCATGAATTACACTACCGAAGAAAAAGTATTAAAAACTAAAAAAACGTAAACGTGCATTCGTCAGTGAAACATATGTTTTTTTTTAAATTCCCTATCCGTGTTTGCTCTTTCCATCATATCAAAACAAAACGCCTGCCGCCGTATTTCGTTCCCATCTCGTAGCTCCTGGTGCTTTTCATATTTAATGGAATATTATTTATGTCGTTTCAAAATTCGAAACGATGTAGTGTGATCTATTCCTATTTCATCTTCAAGTTTCCCTGTGCTGATCTTTCCATCGTTCTCTTCCACGCACAACAAAACTTCCAAGTCGGTATCATTTCTTCCATCTTCTTTTTGTTCCTGCCTTGCTTCACATCTGCAGTTATTTATTAGGGTACCTTTGGTCTCAAATCTCTGGATATTCCTTGCGATTGTAGATTTTCCAGGT